ACGCTTGTTTTAACTGTATCGCTTAAAATAAACGTCCTTCGATATATTGTCTGTCTATCTCCAATATCTATTCACTTTTGCACAATTGATAATTGCGAGAAAAAAAAACCGTTAAACGAGAAGTTTATTTATCATCAGATAAAAACAAGTAACAAGATTTCCTTAAAGAATTCAAAGCGTTATCTCCTTGAGAATTTATTGCAAATATTTATAGCAATTAAACGGGACCAAAATGAGAAAATGGTTAGCTCTTTCTAAGAAATCTATCTCGAGTTAACCTAACCTCGCTCGCTTAATTAGTCTACACTAGTAGAACAGCGTTACAACTTTGCGTTCCAATTATCATTTTACAATGTTTTCGCGTCCACGAAATATATCCATGACGCGAGAAGAATTCACGGATGTCGGAGATTATTTCTGAGAGAGAGAGAGAGAGAGAGAATGATGTTCCGCGACCAGTTATCATTCTACCAAGATCGCGGTCCGTTTACAGCAGTGGCTCTCAACTCGCAATTCGATATCTCTAATTTCTAATTATTAACTCTTATTTCTCTCTCAATACAATTCTCGTCATGATCCCGTTGATCAAATTTTCCGAATTTGAGCAAATTTCGCGAGGAAAAAAAATAACTCTTCTCACATACATCATCAAGTCCACGATAGAGCTTCGTAGATCTTATTAATCTTTGAAATTTTTCTCGCTTTATATGTATATAGGTGGAGGGATGAGAGGAGGACGGGAGGGAAACTGTTCGAACCGTTAAAGAAGGGAAGAATGAAGCGCGAAAAAAAAGTTGGAAAACACTGGTTTCGCAGGAAGGTTAAGGCCCGGGTGTTCTCGAGTGGGCAAACCGGTTCGGTGAAATCTCGCGATTAAATCGATACGTTCCGCGAAACCTCCTAAATATTTTACGATCGACCTGTATAATTTCGTTTCCTGGTCGCGATATCGGCCATGGATCGAGGATGCTGATCAACTTGTTGCGCAACGATATTACGCGTTATCGCGATCAGCATGGGAAAGGATATCGAACGTGGTCGCAATCGATACTTTTTCTTTCTTTCCTTCTTTTTTCCAACTATGACAAACGGATCATAGTTTTCCAAAGCAAAGAACGATCTATCCTTATGAGAAAAAATTCAGAGTCTCCTTTTTTATTATCTACGTCGTTCGAAGAAAAAATCGAGTAGTTAATTCCTTTCAAATGACAAGAATAATTCCACTCGTCATTCCAAATCCATCAAATCTTATTCCTCCAGTAGAAAAGAAGCGTAACGAGGGCGCGAACAGCTGCAAATTATACAAGCTCATAAATAGGCGCTGCTTAAGGGTATATTACCATTTGATGGTGTAGATTCTTGTGTTCGGATCAGAGGTGAGAAGACACCTCTTGTAAGGATGTACGAGCGAAACGATTGATCAATCTATTACATTGATATCGCAATCGCTCCTCTTTCATCGCCTGGAATGGATTCAAATTCCTCGGATCTCGCCAACGATCAAAGGTCCGTTCGTTGCACCGATTGCAAATTATCCGACACGAAGACTTAAAACGTACACATTGTTGGTAACCGTTGCATTTCGTGCAATCTTTGCCCTGAAAATTGTTTCACGCGTTTATTTCTAGTTGGCACTCGGCCTTTTTTGCCTCCAAGATATTTCGCTATTCGCATGACAAGTAGCGTTTGCCATGTCTCGTAACACGCATCCTCGTCGCTAACGAGAGGGACGAGAATAATCAGGGAATAATCAGGGAATTCGCGCGATTCGATTCTATTTAAAATGTTTTCGCCTTTGGGAGGAAGACCTCGTTCGTGTTGCAACGTTACGACGGGAGAGAAAAGGATTCGATGAGGAGAAATCGATTCGTCTATAAATGGTTTTCGCTTGTCATCAATGATGAAGAAAAATCGATAATGAGAGAACGGTTGACACAACAGTTTTGGATCTCTCGAAAAGGTAGCCAAGTAATTTTCGACGAATTATTCTTAATTATTTACTTTTATTCGCAATTATTTGTGCAGAGAAATTTCAAGTTGCATTACGTTACGAAGAGAGTTAAGTTGTAGGTTGACCTGTTGATATGTTTACCTGTAGTGAAGTGGCGATATATATATATATAAGACTTTGTAGCTTGCACAAATCGATAATGTCCATATTATGGAAGTTGTATTATACAAGACGTTTTGACAAGCGTGTTAACGAATTCTATTGCTATTAATAATAATCATCACTTTTCGATTTATTGAATATATATGTATATATATATATATATATTGAAATTTCTAAACGTTAATTATTTTTATAAGTTTTAGATATCTTTCTTAAATAATGTTTCTTAAAATATTTATTCGAGCTTGTATCACTTTGAAGTGAAAATTTTGATCGATGCATATTTTTAAAATAATAAAAAGTTTCCACTTTTCTCTTTTCCACTTTTCCACAATTTTGTATCTTTCGGTCGGTATCAATCTTAGTTTGCGAAACTCTATATGTCTATATGAAAATTCGTATTAGAATCTTTTGTTCGAATTACATAGTTGAGAATCCTAGATATCATCTAAAGTCTTATCATATTTTTTTCCGTTGAAGGGAACGAAGAGAAATATTAACTTTTTTAGAGGAAACATAATGTGTATACGCTCTTCTCTAGAGATTATTACCATCGTTAAATTTAATATTACAAATATATTTTCGTGTTAACCGTTAACCGATAAAAAAAAAAATAAATATTCCAGTTTTTCGACGTCATGGCGAAGAGTGACATGCTTAAATTGGGATTTTGTCGCGTAAACAAGTGTTACATCCTTCGAATTTTTATATAAATCAACTGAAAAAGAGTAATAAAAATTTGGCCTTCCTTTCGGGAAAAAAAAAAACATTCATTCGTTATATATTCGCCGATCTAATCCTCGTATCTTCTTATCGAGATAAAAAAAAAAAAAAAAAAAAAAAAAAAAAAAAAAAAACAAAAGAATAGGTGAACGGCCGAGAAACGAGATAATAATAATACCGTTATTTCTATATCTTTCGAGATTCGAAGATTGTTTTCGAAAAAGGAACAAGTAATATTTAAGCAAATTGTTTTTTTCAGAAATTAAGACGATACGTTGTTTATCATTCCTCTTGTAACGCTTTATCTCCATGTTTCATCTTGTCAAGACGATGCCGTTACTCCGATCGATCGTAATCAGATATTTTAAATGAACACCAACGTTTGCGAAGTATCGTCGGATTACCGGCAATGAATTTCTTGCATGGTCATTCAATCAATTTAATAAGTCGTTCCTGATCGATTTATTTCATTACCGATTGGTTAATGTACGTATATTTACATATTCTTGTTCTATTTGCTTCTTTCCCCGTATAATTACTATTTTTTAAATTTTATATATTTTATATATTTTATACATGATATTTTATATACATAATAATTTTATAATAATTTTTTCACAAATTTTCGTACTTGTATATGTCTCTGTAAACGAGTTGTATTTTTATATCTTACAATAAATATTACATTACGTGTATTTTTATATCTTTTTTCTCCTCCTAGATTTCAAAATATTTCATATTTTTCCTTTACGACATTTCTCAAACAAATATTTTTTAATATTAAAATTATATTAGGCTATATTCCTTCCTTTGTTCTACGTACTATCATTTAAAAAAGTAAATTATGTCGATAAGTTAGGTGACGATTCAAAAATTTTGATCAGCGCCATCTCGCGTTTGGATCCGCGAAGCTCCGACTTGTTACTAGCATAGCAGGATATGCAAGGAGGTATGCTAACTCAAAGACAAGGAAAGCAACATTGTGCGAGAAGGACAGAGAGCATCCCCCACCATTTCGGAAACACCACATGGAAAATTCATTAATTACTCATTGTTTACGCAAAACTTCTGCACTTTTGAGATTGCATCTTAAAGCTAG